CAGCACTTGAAGTTTTGCTCCCTCTCTCTCCCACCCGTTGATTCGCGGCCACCCAGATTTTCCAGTGAACATCATAGGGTTTTGCTGGGAGATGCAGAGATACTACCACCACCTGATCGGTTTTAATCAGAGACCTCTGAGAGATAAATGTAACTGAAGGGGGTTAAGTGGTGCACTTAGCACGGTCCCTCAAGCAGGAGCGAGACAGAGAAAGCAGTTGCTGGCGTACATCATAATGTCTTGCTGTGCACACAGAATAGGCTCTAGGTAATAAGACTCAGGTGGGATTTCTGCGGAGGGAACAGCTAGGTGCAAAGCTTTGGACAGATCGGTGGTGCCACATACCGGGCATTTCTCATGCCCTCTCAGGTGCTCCCGGGGTGACCCCCATCCTTGTAGCATCCGATTGCTTACCACCCTTGAATGCATGTCTTCTCTGTCCATGGGTCTCTGCAGCAGGGGAGTGCTCTTATCCCAGGTGGGAACAGAAAGTAAGAGTCTGATTTATAGTGGCACTCAGGCAGCTGATGGCCTTTTGCAAAGCATCTCATTCCCTCCCTGTTAGCTGCCTGCGTACCTCCTTGGGTGTCTTTAATAACCCCAGAGACTGCATGGGAAGTCATGATGACACCAGGAGCTGAACTGGTGCTGCCAGCAGTAGCTTCTTGTCATGCCCCTGTCCCTACTGCCTGTCTACTGGGATACTGGCACAGCAGGGGCTTCAGGGCAGGAGGGGAAACTAGCATTTCTGGGCCAGGTTGTGTTTTCACTGGACTGTTTTAATACTGGGGCGATGCTATTAGCATCAGCAAAGTGAGCCTTAGTAAGAAAGACCAGAATCTGGGAGCTCACTCCAGAGCCCCCAACACAAAACCCCCACAAAAAACCAGGTGTTGCCAACACAAGAGCTCTAGGATGGACTATGTAAGACTGAGAGGAAACCATGGGCACATCTACATGTGTGCTTTAATGCACATTAGCCTATTTTAATGCATATTAAAGCATCACAAAAAACCTGTGCTCCTTAGTTAATGCGCATTAAAATAGGCTAATGCACATTTTTTGAGTATCACAATGGAGGTACTAGATTTAATGTGCATTACCTACAGTGCATTAATGAATGTGTAGACATGCCCAGTGATACTTTGCGAGTCACTCTTCCACCCCACTGATGTACGCTGAAGCTCACATCGAGCTGGGAGGATTGAGATCCTACTTCAGGTACCAGAGAGCCGCACTGGGAAACAAAACATGCATTTTGAAAGAACGACGCATTCGTCGCTAAATCATTTGCTTTCATTGTTCGTCCCCCAGTCAGTTCTGCTCTGGAAGCCAGCATTAGGTTTAAAAGCAGCATGTTGTATTAATTGCTCGCTTCAAATGAAAGTATTCAGTAAACATTACTTCAGCTCCCGGGAGCATAACTCCTCAGCTGCTTTCTTTGGTTTTGCATAGATTGTCAGCTCCTGATTTAAAGACAGGTGTCTGAGGGATTCACTCAGGAAGTTAGAAATAAATACATTAAAATAACCCTCCTGCAGTGGTGCACTCTGCAGACTCCAAGGAAATTGTATTAGGATGATTTCCTCGTCACCTGTACTGGCATAAATTGGGATAAAAAGCCTCTGTGGACAAGTGGAGTCATCCCCAGCTTCAGATGGGTATAAGCAAGAGGAGAATGAGCATCAAAGATGAGAATGAAAGTACAACCCCATTCTGTCCATGAGCACATTTCTTTTCACTGAAAGAATGGTACTTGGCAATTACATCATTTGCATTCATTAAGGATTTGCAAATCCTGGGCCTAAATATGATTTCCAGACAAGTGAAATGGATGCAGCTTGGTTCATTCAACATCTGAAATACGATGGTAGGTGTCTGAGCCAATGATTTAGGGCAGCATAGTGACTACATTGGCTCAGCCCAAGGGTGGAAATAGCGATGGGCTGACCTCGAGCAGAAAAGAGCAGTTGTTTTATCTTGTGCTTACTAAGAGCAATTCTCCTTGAGGCTCCACAACGCTTTGGGGCAACATAGAGCAAAGGAACAGCCACTCTGTGTGACTTTCTCTCCTATTAACACAACACAATTAGCCCGCACACTTCCTGAGAGTACGGAGTGTAATTCTGACCTGGCTCAGGGTTCGCACAGGCATATCTGAGCTACGTTAAACTGCCTGGCTCTGGTGCTGAGATCAGTGTAGCAGCCACAGCATGAAGGTTCACACAAGCTACGAAACCTGCCAAGGATCTTGTGTAAATCTTTTGGCCTGTATAGTAGGGAAGTGGTAATAGCTAGTGCTATTGCTATGGCATTAATGGGTGTGTCTACATGTGCACATTTACTGCGCAGTAACTAAAATTACTGCATGGTACAGGTGGTGTCTACACATGCATGTATATACTGTGCAGTAAATATGGCAACTTATGCCAGCTTGAGTGTAAATTTGATGCTTGCATCATGCATTATCTGCATCACGCAGGTATCAAATTTATGCACAATTAGTTACTGCGCAGTAACGCACATGTAGACGCCTTACTGCACAGCAATAATGTGTGCATGGACTGACTTGGAACTAACTTTAGTCCCAAATTGGTCCATACACACTGTTACTGTGCTTTAATGCCTGCACATGTAGACACCGGCCTAAACCCACTTCCTGTGCAGTAACTTACTGCGCAGTAAGTTTAACGGGATGTAAATGCACATGTAGACGTGCCCACTGTGTCAGAGCTACCTAGGTTAAACTTAGCAGCATACATTGCATCTTTGACTGCAATAAAGACATGCCCTTAGCTACTGCATGGTAAACATTGCAAGTGCTTTGTTTGGACATAGGACTTCACAGCCAGGTAACGATCATGGTTGTGTCATCTTGCAATAAAAGATGATCTTTATGTCACAAAACCTTTATGAGCTGGGAGGCCAGGTGAAAAGCAGCACAGAGACAGGAGCAGAGGCTTCAGTACTGTTCAGATACCCCACTCAACAAAGCAAAAACCCTTGCGAGAAGAGTGCTTCTGAAAAAGCATGAGTTTACACTATCCACCTTTCTAAAATCCTGTTCTCATCCATGCAGGGTTTGACCAGGTGGGGACACATTTGCTATAACCCCTCTACAGGTATGAACAGCTGAAATTTCCCCAGGGGCTGTTTCCTCCTTGTTAGATGTTCTCTTAGTAGTTTGCCATCTGAACGAGTGGATTTAACTAACATCTGTCAGCCGAGTCTTCAGTCAGGCATGGAAAGGAGAAGGAGCCTCCTTCCTCAGGCACTTGTTCAGCGGCTTTCCCTGTTTTGTGCCAGCTGTCCTGGTTTTTTTTGTTATAATGACTTTTTGGGTCAGTCCAGAGGACAAGAGTTAGTTGATCCTTCTGGTCTTCATATGCTATTTTGCTTTCATCTGATTTATTCTTCAGTGGGCACATCTACACATGCAATTAATGCTATTTGACTTTACTGCGCAGTAAATTTACTGCACAATAAATTTACTACCTGCATATGCAGGTAGTACATTTACTGCACAGTAAACTAATTTACTGTGCCTGCACATGTAAGGGGTGATGCTTTACTGCACAGTAGATTAGTCTACTGCACAGTAAAGCATCTCACGTAGACTTGTGAATAGAAAAGCCACCTGATAAGCAGGGCAACAAATGTACTGAGACAGCCAAGACATCAAAGAAAGTCAAGCTGCTCTGTCGTAGGTGAGATGCTAGCTGCATGCCTGTGGTTCACTTGGATTATATTATCCGTACATATTCCAGTGTTTCACCAACTTGGGTGAAAAGAAGCCTGAGAACCACTGATCTAAAGACATCAGTAAATAGCAGGGTCATAATTGAAAGAGTGTCATACCGAGGCAGTGCTGGCCTCTTTTCTTTGAATTGGCTTCTTGACTTAAAATAAACACACTAAAATGTATTCAGCCCCCCCGAATACTCTCTCAATACCAGCAGGAGCCCCATTTAATAACACACATTTCTTTTATATCGTTCTATATGCAAGAGCAGAGAAACAGCTCAAGTGACACTGCAAACACAAAAGGTTGCCAGCAGCACATTCACTAGTTGCAAGCTGCACTTGCTAGTTCATTTTCTCCGGTAGTGGCGTTACTGCCTGCCCAGACGATTTCTAAATCAGTAGGGGGGTTCCCTTGATGGTACTTGCATGGGGTGAAGTCACAATCCTGTTTTTGTGGCATCAAGTTTTGTTGCTTGGTCTAATGAGCAGAACAGATGGGAGAACTGTTAAAGGAAGACAGGGTTTCCTATGTCCATATAGCACAGGGAGGAAGGCAGGTATTGCAGCTGAATGGAGGGAAGAGAGGGGTTTAATACGTTGCCTTTGGCTGACAGAAGGGGTAGATCTTGACACCCATGAGTCTTAAAAGCACAAACCTCAGTTACCTGAACCAAAGGAACCAGCTCTGTGACCTGATACTGCAGCAAGCTCATCAACCTCCATATGTGGCACACCCATCACGAGCGGGGGACCCAGTGCCACACACTGATCCCAGTCTATACGCAACTCAGGGAGCAAAGACTCCATGAGCAGTAATATCTTTTGTCCCATACTCCCTTGGAAACCTTGCAAGCTGTCACGTGCATCTGCTCTGGTGTTGCCACGTGTTAAATGAGTGCAGCCTTTGGTGCTGAAAAGGTTAAGTGAGCATTGCGTGTACCGTGGACATTAGGATGCACGCTGGTGCGTGAGCAGTCAGTATGATGCCGACATAGGGTCTGCCATCAGTATGGGTGATTTGGAGGATGCCTGAGCTTGTCTGGGGGACCAACCTGCTGATGGATCTTGGGACATCGCTACCACCAAAAGCGATACCCGTGTTGTGCATTAGCATCTCCAGTGCTCCCAGCGGGGCTCTGGCTCAGGCCCTCCACGCTCTCCAGAGGCACCTTGTAGCAGGGGATCAGGCCTTGTGAGAAGACAACCTCGGCTTTAACACCAGCAGGCAGGGTGATCCCTTTCTGACTCTGTTGCAGACTCGAGTCGCCTACACGCGCGCTGGTCATGGAGGCTCCGAAAGGCATTGAGATCAACGCAGAGGCCGGCAGCTTGGAAGCCACGTGCAGGACGGAGCTCAGGCTGGAATCCAAAGATGGAGAGGTAGGGGAAGGAGAGAGCAAACACTATTGCAAAGCCAACCCGTGTGCTGGTCTCTGGGAGACTCGTCCCCTCCCAACGTGCTTGGCAAATCTATGGGGCCCAGCTGTTTAGAAGCTCTGGTAAGGTGCGTCTGACCAGTTTAATTTTCTGTAGCAGGGACTGACCGCATCCTATGCAAACCAGCTTCACTCCACGGAGAGAGCAAAGATGATCCGTTATTTTCAAAGTGCTCGGGTTATAGCGGCAGTTGTACAAGCAGATTTATGCAGCTGTTGGACCGCACAAGCCTCCTAAATTCTCTGTTTTGTTGTCACTTTAAAGCAAGATTTACACAGGTTACATAATTAAATCCTATATCATGCATTCTGCTTTAAGAAGAGCTTAATTCACCTGTATTGATCGGCAAAGCTTTTGTAGCCTGGCTGATGTCTTTATGTTGGTGGGGAAAAGAGTTTGGTGGCTATATTCGGTGACTACCAAAAGAAAGGAAGGGTTGGCAAGGTGGGAGAAAGCCTTGCCACGGATCCAGCAGAGCAACCCCAGACTTTTCCATATTAGTACACATAGGGTGTGTCAACACGTACAGTTAATACTATTTGGCTTTACCGTGCAATCAATTTACTACCTTCATATGCAGGTAGTAAATTTACTGTGCAGTAGACCAATTTACTGCGTAGTAAGCGCCTGCACGTGTAGACAGTGACGTTTACTGCACAGTAGATTAGTCTAGTCTGGTATCTAGTGTAGACACAGCCTCTGATGACTGTCCCTTGTTAATTCTGTTCTGGGAGCAATGGGGATGGGCTCTGAGGGAACTTTGGAGATATGCATAGATGTTGGATTCAGCCCTCGGGCCCCTTTTTTACTCCACAATGTAATGAATAGACAAAAAACCCAGTTCCAGAAACCTCCCCTGGGGCCCATCCAACGCCCAGCGAAGTCAATGGAAGGACTTACAGATGAATACTTGATCCTTGCAGGAGCTGGGTGTAGGTACTCAGGGGCTTTTGTGTCACAAGCATCCCATTTTAAGATCAGATCTATCATCCCAGGCCCTGCTTGTGCAGAAGAGTGGGCCTTTGCAGAGTGCAAACCCGGACCGGGTCAGCAAAGCCAGCCCTGATACTCATCTCCCTGGTCTAAGTAGACCCAGAAGCTGTCGCCGTAGCATGCATAACACCTGTTTGCTTTTAAAATGCACCTAAGGCCTGTCTCTTCCAGCACGCCCAGCAGCCCATGACATTAGATGGGGCCCCGCATTGCCAGTATACCACATTTATCCATGCAGCAGCAGAGCACTTTGCACTGGTGCACTGGTTGGCATAACTCATGTCTGCCACGTGTTTGTTCTCCCCTCCTTTCCCTTAGGGGAGAAGTCTGTGCAGTGCAGTGCTTTGGTTTTGGAATATTGTAAATAGACCTAAGAGCTGCAGATGTCTGTACCATCAGTGATTGCCATTTATACTGCAAATGCCCCCCGGGTTGCCAGGTTGTTCAGCACAGGGTGGGCAGGTAAACCCCAAACAGAACTGACCCAGTAAGGTCACCGGAGAAGATTAGGACAAACAGAGGAAGGGGAGAGGCTTAGGAGATGGAGGTAACACGCTCACCCCATGTTATAGCAGCCGCCGCTGTTTTCACACTGACCCCAATTTCCCGAGTGGTTCCAGCATCTCTTTCCAGGGAAAGTTTTTACAACTCGTGGTTAAAACGTATGGTTCATCCCTAACACTGCTTCTGTCTCTCTCTCTCTCTCTCTTTCTTTCTCTCTCCCCCCCTCTTTCTCTCCTCTCACACACATTTCAGATCACATTGGACTCTGCAAAAATCAAACTACCTAAATTGCCTCAAGGGTTTTACTCCACGACAGGATCCAGGCAAAAAATCTACGAGCTGTGCGTGTGTCCCAATGGGAGGTTATTCCTGTCTCAGGCTGGGGCCAGCTCCACCTGCCAGATAAATACAAGCGTCTGCCTTTGAGAGACAATGCGCGGTGGGCACTGCAGGCAGCGCATGGGCCTACGGCTGGTCTCAGAGATAGCAGCTGCCAACTATTTTTACTAGAACACAGAAAGCCTATCAAAGACTTTTTTTGTGTGTGCGTGCGCGTGTGTGAATATATATATATATATAAATATATATATAAAATTATATATATATATCCTCTGTGTAAAATGATGTTTCAGTACAAGGAATCCCAGGGTGACCCTGTGACATTTGTGTAGTGTTCCACTTTTCCCCCATACCCAAATTTATCAATGAAGACCACTGAACTGAATTCAGTGCTCCCCAGACTTTTCCATATTAGTACACATAGGGTGTGTCAACACGTACAATTAATGCTATTTGGCTTTACCGGGCAGTAGACCAATTTACTGCGTAGTAAGCGCCTGCACATGTAGACGGTGACGTTTACTGCACAGTAGGTTAGTCTAGTCTGGTATGTAGTGTAGACACAGCCTCTGATGACTGTCTCTTGTTAATTCTGTTCTGGGAGCAATGGGAATGAGGTCTGATTAAGATGACTGGCATCCTATTAGCAGCCTATGAAGGGAGAACAGCATCTCTGATTATTTTTGCACTTTGCAAATCAGTGGCGTCAGGAAAGAACAGAATGGCTGGCAACACAGCGCAAATTGCCCTAGCAGTTCCAAGCAGCCTGTGTTTATATTAAAAATGAAGAGAGTACAATTTAAACTAGGACAGCTTAGTGGCAACTTTTTGTCCTAACATATAAGAAGCGTGTGCTTCATGCCCAGAACCACTTGAGAAGAGGGGTATTAGCCCTGGTCCTGCTCTCGTTCACGTGAAAGGCAAAACTCACTTTGACATAAGGGATGGTGGACCAAGCCCATGCAGGGTAGCGTCCTACATGATTCAGCAGTGAAGGAGTGATGTTTGAAGGGATCCCCTCCAGTCTTCCTTAGCCAACAGGGGCATAAAAATGTTCGGGGGATTTAATAGGTATGTAGTGATCAATGTCACTGGCTGGGGGGGAAAAAAATCAAAAGCTAATTGGAATTATTCTGCATTGCAGATCTCTGCCATTGTGTTAGGTTAGCTGTTTATCAGCTGCAAAGGTAACCTAGCATGGATGCCACATCACCTTATTAACAAACTATGCTTTTGATTAAAAAAATAGGGAAAGACGACCACAAATTTGTTCGGTCAACAGGTTTCATAGTTTCTAGGGTCGGAAGGGACCTGAGCAGATCATCTAGTCTGACCCCCTGCCATGGCAGGAAGAGCACTGGGGTCAAACGACCCCAGTAAGGTGGTCATCCAACCTCCTCTTAAAAACCCCCAGGGTGGGAGCCTGCACCACCTCACTTGGAAGCTGGTTCCAGACCCTAGCCGCCCTGACCGTGAAGTAGCGCCTCCTGATGTCCAACTTAAACCTTCCCTCCGCCAGCTTGTGACCATTGTTCCTGGTCACTCCTTGCGGCGCTCGGGGGAACAGGGACTCCCCCAGCGCCTGCTGATCCCCCCTAACCAGTTTATAACAGGCCACAAGATCCCCCCTCAGCCTTCTCTTTTGAAGGCTGAACAGGTTCAGGTCCCGCAACCTTTCCTCATAGGACCTACCCTGCTGTCCCTTGATCATACGAGTGGCCCTCCTCTGGACCCTCTCGATGCTGTCCACATCCCTCTTAAAGTGCGGCGCCCAGAACTGGACGCAGTACTCCAGCTGCGGCCTGACCAGTGCCGCATAGAGGGGGAGGATCACCTCCTTGGACCTGCTCGAGATGCATCTGTGGATGCACGACAAGGTGCAGTTGGCCTTCCTAGCTGCCTCCCCACATTGCCGACTCATGTTCATCTTGGAGTCAGTAATGACTCCCAGATCCTTTTCCACCTCCGTGCTGACAAGAGGGGAGTTCCCCAGCCTGTATGTGTGGTGCCGATTGTTCCTCCCCAGGTACATCACCTTACACTTGTCCATGTTAAACCCCATCCTGTTCTCCTCCGCCCATCCTTGTAACCTGTCTAGGTCCAACTGTAGCCTGTTGCTCCCCTCTATTGTGCCCACAAGGTGTCCTTGTCCGCCCTATGTATGGATGTCCCAGGTTCTGGGCTAACGCTTCTTTTCGATAGCTATGCACACCTGGTAAAGGTGAGATGATTTAAGATTTGGACAAAAGCCTACCTGCAAGGCATTCAAAAAAAAGGGGGTTATCCAAAATTGCTGCCTTTGTACAGGAAGAACCTGAGGTCACTCCCACTTTATGCAGATGGCAAATATCAGAGATGCTGATTAAGAAAGAGAATTTTTTTAAGTGTTTATGAGTATTGCAACAAAGCCAGATCGCTGAAAAGTCGGGCTGTTCAGCTCCGGTTCCTTTAGGACTCGAGCCTGAAGAGTGGGTTTGGACCTATCACTGACTCCCCAGTACATTTTTCAAAAGCGCTGCAGTCCCACTGGCTTCCACGGGGACCTGGTCTCCTAAGTCACATAGATGAGTTTGAAAAAATATTACCCTCAAGCACACCCCTAATCATAACGAAGGTGAGCTGATGGGCCGCAAACAGATTTCTAAGCTAAGTATAGCCAAAAAAAGAGACACTGTCACCACTTTCTAATTAAGCCATTTGCTTGGGGGCTTGAAAGTATGAAATTCTGATTTGCTTTTTTCAACAAATATTTAGGAGCTGGTCCAAAGTCAGTGGAAATGCTTTGGTGCTCTTCCACCGACTTGAAGTGGACGGTGATGGCTAACAAAGGCGCCAATCATCTGTACCCTTCCTAAAGGTTAAAAATTCGGAGTTCTCCATTTTTCCTAGTGATGCCGTTAAGTTAATTAACGAGTTCAAACCATTTGTTATCTATTTATTCCTGTAATTATTATGTCCGAGTCAACATTGTAATGCCAAGGGTCACCCAGGATAACGATTGTATTGGGACACGGGACTATACCATCTCTGTTCAAAGAGGGGGAATTGTGCCTATGCCTTAAGTCAATGCACTCAGCAAGGAGAAGCACATCATATTTATCTTGTTATTCAAACGAGTTGATTTGGGGGAGGGGAGGTTGAAGGGGAGGGTGGGTCTTGTCGACCGATGTCGTGGGATCTGGTGGTGCAGTGTCAAGCAGAGCAGACGAAGCCCACAATGCCCGTGGGGGCAGCTGGAGCTATTACAGACTTTTACCGTCTTCAATTTAGCGCCTGACTGTGTCTGTTACCTCTGGGACCATCGGCCCATTCGTAGTCCCCGGTGGAATCCATTTACTGCTGCACTTGTTATTTAACACATTTCACGTTGCATTGGGACAGCGGTTTCCCAGCCTCCGATTCATAAGCCAGTGGGTGCACGAGGCTTGCAGAAACAGTGCTCCTAGCAAAGTACTGGCTGTCTCAGGCTGTGCTCCCACGGGGCTCGTAGCACTAGTGAAAGGTGCCGGGTCGTGGACCAGAACCGGCTCTGCAAGAAATAGGGCAGCAGCCCCTTGCCAAGGTTGTGCTGCCAGCACTCCCAGACCGCAGGAAATCGTGAGTAGCTCAGTCTATCCTTGCTCTGCTCCGCACTTTAGTGCCGATTAGTGCCACGTGTCGTGATGGCTCTCGCAGTGGGAAGTCTGAGCATCCTTCTCACGTCACAGAACAGCCTCAAGAACGGTCTCTCCTTTGCTTCTCTGGGCTGGACTGGGACAGGAGGCAGGGGGCCCTGCTACCAAAAAAGGCTCTTGTTTGTCTGGAGCCCCTTGGCGATGAATGGAAGCTGCATCTTCATTTTGTAAAGGGAAGCCTGGATTTTTAGATGCCCATTTCTAGCTTTATACATGTCAGATTTCACCCTGGTAAATCCCATCGGCGATGTCCCTGCTCCCCACCGTGCAGATGCACACGGGGCCACCCAAGCCTATAGGACCCATCAGACCAGTGCAAGCAAGGCACGCCAGCTCCTGCAGCACAGCTGGCATCCCATCCTGCTGCCTGTGCTTCTAGCCTGGGTGACAGCTGGGTCAAATGGGACATCCTTCACCCGGGCTTTTTAAAGGAGCTGCAGCAGGATGCCTTAACTCTGCTGCCACCACATCCCGCACGCACTTCACTTCAATCCTCTGAGCAGGGCCTAAGAGGTGCCATGGGCCGTGTTGGCCCTGTGCAAAGTGGGGCAGGTTCTCCAGTAAGAGGGAGGGACTTGCCTTGAGCGTATGCCCACCTGCAGCTCCCAATACAGCAATACCCTTGCACGGCAAAACCATAGAGAGCTAGTGATGCAGAATCAATAAGAGAAAAAAAGGTGCCCTGCACAGAGGGGACAGGTGGTCTAGGACACGAGGTGCGTTCGTAGCAAACTATGCACGCCTGCATCTCACGGAAAGCACGTTTCATTGGGAGGTCCCCTTTTTCGTACATGTTTTGAGCCATGTGCACAGGCGTATTAATGGAAGCCACATGCCCCAAGGGATGCTCATGCAGCAGACTTCAGGTTTACCATTTTGTTGGAACGAGAAAGTGCATGAGCTGACCAATGTCATGTCTCCCTTCTCTCGATTTGTATTCACCTCCCATCAATCCCAATCTGCTCCCGTGATGCGTGTGTGCGTGCGTGGAGGGTTGTTCTTTACTGCATAACAGTGGAAACATTATGCTTAGCCAGAGATAAGCTATTTTGTGGCAGTGTTTGGTATGGTGAGGATGGTCCTGGAGTATGGAGGGTTCGGTGCCGTGCGGCACTTGTCAGTGGTACAGTACAGATCTTGGGTTTGCATTTTCATTGCACAAGCTGGTTGCTCCCCTGAGCCACTTGCATCCGAAGATCTCACCACTCACAGTGGTCTCAACTCCTATTTTATACACACGCTGACCACCCGTGCTAAAGAGCTGCAAACCCACAAGCTGCTATACTTATGCATCAGGCCGGCAGTGGTGTGCAGATGTCAGCATTTTCCTGCAAGGCGACGGTGTTTCTTTTAAATAGCTTATTTCTATCACTCATCAGAAGGAAAGGGGGGATGCGTGCTTCTGTTTCTGCTGAAGCCAATGGGAGATATATCTTGGACTTCTGTGGCTGCAGATCCACCCACCCCAGAGAGGCCAGCGAGAGCGCTGCCACCCAGGGCAGCCGTGGCACCACTGAGCTCTGATTCTGCAGTGTAGGCAGCCCTGCACATCCAAAATGCTTTAAAAGGCCAATCAAGGGAGTGTGCTACTACTGTCAGCACAACCGTGAACACTAAAGGTAAAGATAAATGCTCTTATGTATTGTAATGCTTGACTTCATGGGGCCTCAGTAACATGCTGCACTTTGCTTTAAAGTCGCAGCATGCGTCTTCACACTACTATCTTATCCACATTTATTATATGACCCGTCTGCCATAAGAATAGGTATGTCAGGATGGTCGTTAAAAGCCAAACAGTTTTGCC